TTGCCGGAAATATAATTCAAACAATTAAAAAAGTGAACTACGTTTCGTAAATATTGTGACCGCACTCCATCACTTTGCAACAAGCACTATTGTTTGGACCCGTTTTTCTTAAGTTCATTTCATGATCTTAGTTGTAATTGCTGCTACTAGTGGTAATGAAAACAAAATAAAACTATTTTATTTCGAAATTTTCTCTACCCTAGTATATATTGCAAATAACAGAAGATTGTAATATTTCAGGAGTGTATTCCCTCCTAAAGTGAAATTCGTATTAGCATATTCAAAACTTAACTTCTTAAAGAGATATTCAATAATTATTATATAAAAATGTAAAGTATTTTTTAGTTTTATTTATTCATTAATTCCCCATATTTATGGAAGCTAATGTCTCATTTTTATTGTAAGAGGAAATCTATTCGCCTTTCATTTTGATGTGCGAATATTTCAAACACTCGCAGATTCAAATCAGCAGCTTCTATCGTGATATTTTATTATACTTCTATTATGATATTTATTTAATTTTGTACTGTATTTATTGTCGTCCAGTGTTAGGAAAATAAATATTGAACACTCACGCAGAAAATTGTTAGCGGTTCTTCCTTTGCCGGCAACAACGCTTAAGCAATAAAATATCTACCATTACCCAAATTAGTGTTTCATTCGCCTCACACGGTCGTCGTAGGGACTCCTAGTAAGCACATTTCCAACTACTTGGAATGCCTTCAAGATTCTGATCAATGAGAAGGCTTTGTAAATATTATAATCTTTGTAAATATATAAATACTTTACTTAAACCTATATTAATAATAACTGATTTTCATGCAATATTAAAAGCTCTGATTTTGTAACAGAAATAAACAAAGTTATTTTACCTTCAGATGTCGTAGCTATGTTTCCTAATGTTGCTTATTCTTATTCTCATTATAATTTCCGTAATATAATATTATTTACCCCAGTTAGATAATTTAACAACTTCTTTACATGAAGTTATCTTAGTAGTCAAATGTATGCTTTCCAATGTAGAGATCTCTATTTACCGCAACTCAAGGGACACCAAAAGGAGGTTCTTTGAGCTCAATTTTTTCAGAGCTTGTGATGCGTAGGATCGAGGAAATGATGTTATCTTTGATAAAAGTGTTATTCTACAAACGATACGTTGACATAATAATCTGTGTCCACAAAGATGGCACTCTTAATGTACTTAATATGTTCAATTCATATGACAGCTGTATCCAATTTACAATTGAGAAAGAAAACAATAAATCTATAAATTATTTCGATGTTAACATTAAACACGATAAGGACAAGATAACAACAAATTGGTGTAGAAAGGGAGCGCCTCTAACTAAGTCTTAAATTATTTACCTAAACATTCTACAAAACAAAAATAAGCATAGTTTATACTGTAACACGCATCTACCGGCGACGTGGGATCGTCGGAAATGCGCGGTAGCGGCCCGGTCTTAGCTCAGTCGGTTCTACTACCCTTACCTATTTAAAAATTAGGTGATGGAAGGAATTGTAAACTAACTTCATGGACATTTGAAGAAAACAATTTGGTTACTGGTAAAAAAAGATAACATTTATTCCTGGACAATGCTGTGCCAGGGAAGTTACATTGATGGAAAAGGAAAAAAAAAGATTGAATAAAAAAATAAAGAATAAAATTAAAGGAGAACTTACAACTAAAGAAAAATGGTACAAAATTATTCTACGGTTAAAATTTCAAATTTTTCCCTGAGGACCTTTCTGTGCCTTAGCGCGGCACCGCTATGACAATAGTTTCTAAAGAGCTTATTGCTCCTGTTTACGTTGCCTGTGGCCCTCCGTGGCAGATGCGTTCAATAGGCCCGGGTGAGCGCGGCGAAGCTTGTGGACGGCCGGGACGGCCTTCTCTGGAATGCGGTCGGGCGCGCGCCCTCACCAACGGCGGCTGCGGCGGCCAGTGGCCTCTGGCGGCGTCTGGTGGCGTCTGGCGGTGGTCAGTGACGTCAGCGAAAGGACGTCTGGAGGCTGCTTCGGCGGAGCTTGTA